TCACACTTATCTAATTCTCTTCTTATCCATTTAAGGGAGAGAGCACCAAAAATTACTTTATATACTCTCTCTCTCATTCTTGAACAAAAAAGCAAGATTTTCGTGAAGAAAAGAAAAATATATTTGAGTTTTCATAAGGTTTTCTCCTCATCTTCTCTTCATCCTCTCTTCGTTTCTTGCTCAAGATGAAAAGGGAAATGGACTCTTTCTGCACTTGGTAAATATCTCACTTCTTCATTTCTCTCATGCTAGGTTTTAACATGCTTAAGTACCACTTGCCCAATTGATTTTGATGTCACATAGTTTTGTCGCATAACAATTTATTTCATTAAATAATAAAACAAAATAATGGGTTTTTGTTTTGTTGCTGGACCCACACGCATGGGCTTAGCATTTCGCTGCCCACACCCCCAACTTTAGGCCTAGTTGACTGCACTTCTTTTATTCTAGTGCTTTTCGGATTTTCTTCTTCACACCACTTGTTTTATTTATTATAATATTAGTTTATTTCCATTTTAATTTTATTATTGTTATTCCTTCAACACAAAAAAAATCACAAATATGTTTTACACTTTTTAATGTCTTAACTTTTTTTTGATAATTTTTATTTTTTTAATTTATTTTACTATGTTATTTTGATTTAATTCTTAAGGGTTTTATATTTGATTTTATTTGTGATTATGGTTTATGTTTGATGCCTTCTATCTATGCTCTTGAGCTCATTTTCGGGACATGTTTAAGCATACATACATGCTTAGGGTGTGGGTGATTTTTGAGGTCCAATTGTGATTAATTAACGAGTGTTTGAATTATTTTCATGAGGGCTTTAATAAATGTGACTTTGATGAAATGATTGTTGATGCTTGATGATGTTTTGATGAATTCTTAACCCCATATCTTGGCACAATTAGTTAGACACATAAATACCTAATATCCATGACACTTTGATGAATTTTTGATAATTTTCAATTTTTTTCTTAAGTGATTTTTGTGAGCTTTCATACATGCATATCTTTTAAGACACTTGTGTAATTTTGATGATGGTTTGAATTGATTCTTGGATATGCTCCTGCTCATGTTTGGACACTTAATTGATGGCTAATTTCATGTTAATTTGATGCAAGTTTGTGATTCATTTGAGGACATTTGATTGGATTGCTTTTATGCTTCTTTTCATGTTTTTTTTAGACATGCTTTCTTGAATTGATGAATGATTAGGGGATGCACTTGTGCAACCATTTAGGGATTGTGCTTCTTTCTTATTATTGATTGAGATACCATATGGTAAAGCATTTTTCCCTATTTTTATAGGTCATTCTATGCCCATTTGAATGTTGATACATTTGTGTAAAATCTCTCATGTGTGCTTGCATATCTTGGTGTTTTTTCTTGAGTTTATCTTATGTCATTGCTTATTGACGTTTGAGTGACTTGTGTGATGAGTTTTATATGTCATTTTGCTTCTAACTTATGTGATTTGATACCTCTCTTCCATGTTCCATCTTCTCCCTTACTTGACATGATGTTAATGTTCCATTAGGAGGATGTTTAGGATTTGTTTTGCTCATCTATTGTCTCGACCTTTGAGTATGATTTAGTAGGATGTCTTTGTGATGCTTTTAAGTTTTTCATGTGTGATGATAACATGTTTAAACTTCTGACTTATCATATCTTGGTGGCTAAATTTCATGCTTGATGATTATATTTCCTTGTTAGGAATAACTAACCTTTCTTGTTAAACTTTGATTGATGATTATGTACTTTGATGATCATGCCTTGTACTCAATTCTTGATTGAATTTCTTTGTGTCTTTGATACATGTCCTAATCGAATATATTGTTCATACGTGTCTCTTATTTTTCACTATGTTCCTATCTCTTTTGCATTGCTCGTTAGCACTTCTTGATTAGAGGACTAGTTTTCATTAGGGGTGTTTGTAATCATGTGCTTTTGTGATTTTGTTGTGCCTCTTTCTTAAGTATATATGTATGATGATGAGTTCTTTAAGACTTTTCTAATGACTTTTATGTCCCTTCATATCTTTCACTTCACTTTACCTTCTTATGCCATGATTAGTCAGGCAATTGACATATAGAGCTTCACATGCTAGTGTGCTTGTTTGTTTTTCTTCTCTTCTGTTCCAATGCACATACCTCTTGTGCATGACCCTTAAGAATTTGTTTGACATGTCTTGGTGTCTACTTGATGTGAAGTTGATGTTTAATACATGTTTAGGACTTGACCCTTGGTTTGCAACTTGTTTGAGTTTGATCTATTTGCCACATAATGCAATTTGTTTGATGGTGTTTGATAACATGAATCCTTTTGTGATATGGTCTCTTGAAGCATGTTTAGACTTAGGTATTTACTTCTTGTCTCGTATTGTTTATTGCTTTATTCAAAGTAGCATTGATGAAATGTTCACTTCTTTTGTGTGGTTGCCTCTTCTATTTGCCTAGTTAGGTTGTTTTTTTATACTATTTGACTCTTGATGTTTTATTTAGAGTATGGATAACCTAATAACATGTTAGGGGAAGTATATTTGATGTGTTTGGTGTATTCTCTTGACATGTCTAACTGTTTGATGAATCCATATGTGTTTGCTTGTTTTCAAATCTTGGTTAAGTGTTTGATGCTTGCTTTCTTGTTTTTGTTTCTTCCTTGTGAAATAGCATGTTCCTCATAGGATTACTTTGGTTCATTCTTGTTCAAGATTTGAATTAGACCTTAGCTTTTAAACTATGTATGATAACATTAGGTAGCTCCCTTTATCCTCACCCATATGACCATTTTGCATGCTAACATTAGGTAGTTTTCCCTTAACCTTAACTTTAGGACCACATTGCATGATAACATTAGGATTTGAACTTTCCTTAGATTCTTCTTTCCCTTTTTGCGTCTTTACAACTAAAATTTATTTTTTTATCAATAAATCAAAACACTTAATGAATAAAGATGTGGATCATATGTCACGAGCCTTAAGTGGTGGGAAAAGAATGAGGCGGTACATTCTGAACCTTGTTCTTTCTTTCATCCATAGTCTTTAGTATGATCCAATTCACAACACTTTTCACAAATAAGCGGAGAAGTAGTAAGTGTTCCTCCATTGAGATTCATTTGCTATTATCCCATCAAAAATACTCAACAAATTCAAACTCTTTTGCCTTCGGCCTTTTCTTTTGAAAATCTTTTCATAAAAATGATGTGTTATTTCCATTCTGCGCAAAATGACACATGTCTCCAAAGATCGGGTTGCAATATGTCAACTGCTAGAGTGTGAATGTAACATTATCCGCCTAAAAACACAAAACAAATCAAACTTTTTTAAAAGAACTACGGTCCTCTGACTTTCCCATTGCACGAGGAAGTACGTAGACACTAGGTCCCACGATCAAAGGCGAGCGCAATAATAAAACTTCTTTTTTGTTTGTATATAATTCTCTGCATTTCATGCATTTTCCTTAGCTTAATAGCTTTAGTTTGACACACCCTATGATTAGATCAACAAGAGTGGATCTCGTGGAGTACCACGGACGTGAGGGGTGCTAATATTTTTCACTTACGTAATCGACTCCCTTACCCGTTCTCTTGGTCGCAAGACCTTGATTTCTTCCTTCACATGCTTTCTCTGATGTTTTGTTTTCCCTTCTTTGGGATAAATAAATATTCGATGGCGACTTCATTATTTATTATTTTTCTAGTTGTCTCATTACTCATAAAACTCTTTTCTCAAATACACTTAGATACTTTGAGTGATTTTGAGTTTGATACAATTAAACACGCGAAATCCTAATACTAAGACATTTATTTATGCTACTTCGACAGTAACTGTCATGAGCGATCTTTTCTCTAGAAAATGACACGTTCTCGCTTGCATAACTTCGCTCTTCACAGACTTTCACGTGTCTCTTTTGAGGAACGAATAGGGTTAAAATACGATTATTAATCTCATTTCGAATTATCTTCGTCGAATTCTCTTTCAAATTGAGTCCAAGAAATCCTTTAACTCTCATTGTGATATTACTTCGCAAGCATGAGCTTCTTCGCTAAACTCTTGAATTCTTCATTTGATCTTCTAGTCGACTGTAGCTTGTCTACATCAAATATTTTCTTCAACTTTACTTGATATTTTACACTTTCTTAAGTGTCGAAATTACAGCTAAAAAGGTGCAACTAATAAGAAATACAATTAAAATGTCAAATTGTTCAGCTCTAACGTGTTTGGAAGGCTTTCATGGACCTCATTAGACTTTATAACTGACATTCTTTCGGTTGAGGGGACCTCAGATGATCTTAAATTCGAGTGCTTGCTAATTTCGGCTAACATGCTATTTATTTTTTTTAGATATAAACGAATGTCTTTGTGTGTTGTTTAATACTAGTTGGTCTTTGAGTTGTAAGGCTATGACAGTAACGATTGCATGTGAGCAGTGTCATTATTGCAATGTAAAAAAAAAAAATAGTTGTTTGTTGTAAATCTTCTTTTGACCTACAAATTCTTGTCGATTTGATTCCTCGAATGATAGTCTTGATCTTCTCAACAAATGAAGCAATAATTTGTGTAATCACTGAATGTCCTTTTACAGATAACTTCAGTTGAATCGTGCGCTCTTCACTTTTGCTATTTATTTTTTATAATCATTTTAATACTCGTATTTCTTTCTAGAAGCCCTAACTTTTCAACATATTTTCTTCAAGGTTTTCAAAATGCAATCAACTAGTATGATGGTATTGAAAGCTCTTACCCGAATCCCCCTCTTTCAAACTTGCACATCTCTGTCAATGTATTGCCTATTGTAGCTTCAAAGGGCCTATTGTATCAGGCTCTTCAAATCAATATGGCAGAGATACATATATAATACTCCTATAAAATTTAGATATTGGAATTTGAAACGAAACATTCTCTATTTGATCCCAAAAAAAAATAGTGTACCAGTAGGAAAAAAACATAAATATTTCTTTACGAGACCAATATGAACAGATTAATGACAGTAATTCACCTAATGATTAAGAGATAACCACTCAAGTTCTAAGTTTAATTCTCCACATTCAACATTCTGAAGCTTGATTAACATATCTTGTTTAACCTTACCATCAATGATATTGACTATGCTATCTTCTACAAGTGCATTGTCATTTGATTTCAGCCATTTTCCTATTTGCATATCATCAAACATTCCAGCATCTCCAAATGCCATTGCAGATGTTATCAGTGGTTGAAGATCAATCTCTGCTTCTCCCATTATATCATCCGCCGAAAACAAGTCATGATCAAATACCTTCTGCAATACAATCAACCTAGTTAGTTGTTAATATAAAGTCATTTATAAGCCGTGATGAAATTTAACCTTACCAAACTTATCGTTCCATATTGCTCAGGAACAGATAACATAAGTTCCTCATTCCAGACTGGATTCAAATTACTCTTTATTATGGCTGTCTGAACAGTCTGAATGCAATAACACCATTGTCAGTTAAAAAAGAAAGTTGTCAACAGATATCATTCTTATATATGCTAATGAATACAATCAACCTGTTGGCCAAGCTTTAAAACAACGTACGGATCACTTGTCATCATATCTCTGATTGCTAAATTTGTGCCTTTGACCACTTTCACTTTCAACATTCCAATGAATTCTACCATTCCTTCCTATTTTCAACATCAATATCAATCAAACATCCATGAAACAATACTATTCCTTCATATATTTAATCAAAGGGAACATATATAATTACCATATTCTTTGAACCACTAGTAGTTCGAAAGCTATCCATAATCTTTTTGGCGAAACTTGATTGACGATTGCTTTTGCTTTTGTTTGATACAATGCGCAGACTATGTTTCAAAAATTCTTGACGCTCATACTTTGCCCTGAAATTATAAATGCCTCTATTAAAATGCCACTATTAACTTGAACACTGACGGGATTGGTACCAATGTTGATGCTAACTTGAACGGTGTATCACAATGCGTAAATTAGTAAATGCTTAACGAGGCAGAATGGACTGTGGTTAAAAACAGCAACACAAAAGATGAGTAAAAAAAGTTGAATAAAAAAGAACAAAGGGCTAAGAAAATAAAAATTCCATATCGATATCTTTTGCGTACTTTATGGTGACAAAAAGTGTAACAGGTTTACTAAAATAAGACAAATGGCACTTTGTAAGTCTTAGAATTTCGGGTTGGGTCTAACTCAACCTTGCAAAACTGACTTGTAAGACAAGAGTTCTCTCCATTTATAAACATATGTTTAGGGCTTCGGGCCATCTCTCATCCAACGTACTCTTAACGGTAAGCATGTCTAACCTGATGAATTTTTCACGTCCCTCATGACTGGCATCGGGTCCAGGCTTTGTGTATCCTTCCGGAATATAAGCCTCATAGATCGAATTTGCAGAAGCATTTCCTCCAACTTCCATCATTGCATCTATTTCATCACCCGACCATTCATCCAATGTCACAGACAAAATCTGACAAGGAAAAAGGAAATGGATGCATAAAAGTATGTATATATACTATTAGTTTTTCAATTTTTTCTAGACAGGAGGAAAACGAAACCAATTAATGATTTCTCATCAATAAAAAGAAAATATTTTGAAGTAAAACATCATGAATGAGTGTGTACCCTTGATATATGAGTACCAAGACTTCTGTGCACACCACAACATTTTAAGCATACAAAAACTCCGATATTGGCTGACCTGAAAAAGCAGTTCAAGAAATTAAATTTCAGCTAAGAAAAAGTAATATACTTTCTACATATCACAACTAAGAAAAGGTTATTTGGATAAGCAATTACAATGATGTCTCATAATCCCTTTACAGAAGGAAAAAAACACGACACCCAAACCTTCATTCTGAGAACGACGATAAACCATAAATGGAAAAAGGTTTTGGATAAGTTGAATAAACTTACGCCCATTTAGGATCCGGAGAGCCACAATCAGCACAAAAACGATTATCTTTTTGAACCAATAAATCCTTCAATCTTCTTTTACCTGTAAGAGACCTGCCAATCATTCAACCTCTCAAGGAAAAACTAAACCAAAACGGCTTTGCATTTCACGAGTAGACATATGAGAATATATATATACATTGACTTTCGATAAGGGTAATAAACTAGTTAAACACGAGAGAATGTCGCATAATGAAAATCATAACATACTTGACACAGGCCTCCCGAATTCCAAACGTCTATTCATCGACATCCTTGAAATCCACTAATAGCTGTCAAGTTAATCTACCTGAGAAAGTAACAAGTATTTCTGGTTACAGACACTTAACAACATAAAAATGGAATGAATTTCTACAATAACGATAACTGATAAGGCTTCTCCAACAAAAAGTAAACAAATATAAAGTTTCAAGGATAATATATATAACTAATTAATGCCGGTAAAAGACCAATTCCACAGGGTTGGAAGACTAATTCCATTGTAGCGTGAAGGCTAATGAAGTCAATTTTTTGGAAAGAGAATAAAGATCAATTAACAATTCATAAAGTACACACACCCATGTGGGAGTTGTTAATTTTTTGTTGAGTGGTTGGTCTATAAAATAAAAAAGTCAGATATTTGTTTGAATTAGCAGACATCAAAATTGTTTGGTCGTATGTATCAAAAAGTAAACTTTCTACAACCGCATAGGACTTAATACAAGCATTATACATGCAATATTTGTTAAGAAAAACAAAAAGAATGATGGGAATTGGGAACCAAATATTGAATTTGAGATTTTGTTTTCCAATTACAATGAATTAGATAAGAATGTTCATGAAAGATGAACATTTGCATTAAGGATTAAGTGAATGTTGTTGTTAAGAAATCAAAGAAGAATAATAGAAAATGAAAGGGAGGTGAATTGAGAAAAGAGAAAGAAATTACCGGTGAATGAAGGAATTGAAAACCGCATGATGTCGGATGGAAGAGATAGAGGTGGGAAAAAGGTGGCGACATTTTTATCTATGCTTGATTTGGTTGGCATTGTTTTGTAACAATGATTTCTTTATTTGTAAGGGGTGTTCAAGTCTTTCTTGTGTTTTTTTTTTACTGTTTTTCTTTAGTTGTACTTGAATTTAACATTAAAAATATATATAATTGCTTTTTATTTAAAATTTTGTGTTTTCACAAAAAGAATTTTATTATTAGTATGAAATTAATTGATATGTATCAAACGTATAAAGCACTTTTACACTATTGGTTAATCATGATCGTCAGATCTTTATAATTGTTTGACTTTTATCTTAATTATATTTAAAATATTATATATAAGTGATGGTGTAAAAAAATTTGCATCATAATACATATCAATTAATCTCTATTAGTATATATTAATGTCGATCTGTGCACAAAAAAAATGAAAATATAAACTGTATTTTTTATATGTTAATTTTTAATTTTAAAGTTAATTATTTATAAAATAATTAAAAAGTAAAATTAAAAACATATAACAGATAGTTAAGAGAAATTGAGATTAAAATATACATTGAAAAAGATATAATTGAAATAAAAATATGTTACATTAAAATCATATTTTACTTTATATATAATTATAGATAAATAAATATTATAGGGAAAAAAACCATTATAAAAAATCATAAGTCTATCATATTATCAAAGTAATTTTAATATATATATATATATATATATATATATATATATATATATATATATATATATATATATATATATATATATATATATATATATATATATATATATATATATATATATATATATATATATATATATATATATATATATATATATATATATATATATATATATATATATATATATATATATATATATATAAATTTGATCAAATACACATTATTAATTGGTTGTTAATATAAAATTATTTTCTATTGATTGTGCATATTTTATTTTTCGCAAATAATATGTAGAATAAAATTATTATTTTTGGTTAAAATTATATAAAATTTGTGACAAAATAAATATTTAGATTAGTCGTGTTTAGCTTTTCGTATTTTTAATACAATAATATTTATATATTTTTTTATATTATCTAATATTTATTTAACATTTTATTTTATGTGTTGATAAATATGTGTTTACTTTCTTTTATTTTTCTTTTAGATTTTTGTCTATATTATTTTTTTAATTAATATTTTTAAGACTTTTTTATGGAGGGAAGTGATTGAGGACGTGGGGAAGATTCTCTATATTGATATGGATATGGTGTATTTGAATAAGAAAGTGTGTTGGTTAAGGGTATAGAGGGTAAGGAAGAAGTGTCAGTAGCATTCCTAAAATATTATACATAAAGGAAAGTGAGGGCGTAAATGAAAGATCATAGAAAAAGTCTAAATTAATAAATAAAATAAGGAAGAAATGTTAGTTTGTAGCATTCGTGAAATATTGGGAGAACGTGAAAAGAAAGTTAGGGCACAGAGGAATCAAAGGGTTAATCCATTTATTAGAGCTTAAAGATGTCGATTGCTGGGAATAAAAAGGTAATAGTAGGTAATTTTGGTTGATTATGATTGGTATAAGGGTAGAGTAGACATAGATTTTATTATTTATGTTGATTGACGATGAATGATTTGTGATGAAATCGTTGAGAATGATGTTGTAATACGATGGGAGAATTGACTTGGGTGTTTTGCGTTTTATTGCAATTATTGCGGATAGCAAGAGTCGTCATCGACTTTTCTTTTATCCAATAAAGGAAATAGTGAAAAGAACAGGAAAGACCTTTTGAGAATTTTCTTGAGTTCGGGGGATAGATTATGAAAAGGGAATGTGTTAGCACCCTTTTCATCTGTAGTTATCCACGGGCTCTTAGTTGCTAGCTCACTTTGAAAATACTTTGTTTGAAATGTGTTTGTGATTGTTTTTGAAAGTATTTTTGAAAAGTGTCTTTGTTTAGGCGAACTTTGTAATGATTCTCGTCTCTATAAGAATGTATATAAAGTGTTGCCTTTTGAAAATATTTCATGGAAAGTGTTGATGTATTTTGAAAGATGTTTTAAAAAATGGTTATGAGCAAGCGATTAAGAAAGTTCTACCTACTCAAAAAGTCTTTGTTCATTTCCTCTTCCTTTAGATATTGCAACCTTACCATTGATTGATAAGAAGCTCTGCCATTGGATGTAAAAGGACAGGCGTGGGTCGTCGTACAGTCATAGAAGGCAACTTATGAGACACTTTAGCAATATTTGTAAGGGACTAAGATCATTTTACCGAAGGCAATATCGAAGGATCATCGAGGGACCACGATCTTTTTATCGAGGATCTTTCCTAAAGTGTCACATATTCGAGGGACATAATTATTTATTCGTACGCAACAAGTATGAGTTACCCTAGAGGTGCGCATGTGAATTGTGTTTTGATTGCATGCATTTTTTGTCTTAAAATTAGGGTTCTCTAAGATTGATTTTATCTTGCCATACACATCCTAATTACTAACAATTATATTAAAAGCGATAAATTGTGGAAATTAAAATCCTACGCTATTATATCATTGTAAGGGATGGGCATACAAGTAATAAAAATGCGTGAAAAGTAAAATTCTAGTTACTTATTACAACCAAATTGAATGAAAATAATAGCAAAAAAATCCAAAAATTAAGATTTTTGGTGTCTGGTCTGACACGGGCTGTGTCGTGTGACACGGCCACCCGTATCATGACCCTGGAATAACTTATGCGTGTGTGTTTTTTTCTGTCCCAACGGAGCTGACATGGGTCGTATCTTGTGACACGAGCATTCGTGTTAAGACCTTGTCCTGCCAACTTGTCACGTTTTCAGTTCCAGTAGATCTGACACGGGTCGTGTCCTATGACACGGACACACGTGTCAGCCCTCTGTCCTCCTTTTTTGAACGCTTCTAGTTCTAGTAGATCTGACACAAGTCGTATCTTGTGATACGGGCACCCGTGTCAGCACCCTGTCCTGCATTTTTTGTTAGATTTTCAAACAGCTGAGCTGACACAGGCCGTGTCATGTGACACAGGTACCCGTGTTAGCCCCCTGTCTTGGCTTTTTCGCTGAGTTTTCTTTGTTTGATCTATCATTTTTTATATATCTTTTGAACACAAAAATCAAATGATGTATGGATAAAGATATCACAGTTTGGAAAAAGTTTACCTCTCGAAACAAAAACTTAGGAACATTGTTGGCTCCCAAATTCGACACTTTCTATATTTGGTCTCTTTGACCAAACAACTGGAAATGAACTACACCAGGAGGTGTAACTCGACGCGTGAGATAATTTAAGGAAAAGGATCCAAGATATAATAAGAAGCTTCGACCAAAGGTTCATTCGACCGAGGCAGATGTAGGTTGTTCGACTGAAGGGAAGTGTTTGCGCCTTGGCACAAGGGACGAAGACCATTTTGAAATTTGAATTATTGGAGGGAAATGTGGTTTTCATCAGCGTCTAAGGGAAGGAAACGTGGCAAAAGGCTATGGGTCGAGAGGCATGCAGGAGACACTTGTCTTCATCCTAGCGCAGAATGTCCCCTCGACGGTTACCTATTTTTAGTATAAATTAAGAAGTTGTGTAAATTTTTGGTGTGTGGAACTTATAGTACAAAACCTCTCAAATATTATCCAAGTAACTACTGCGTGAGAAAGGATAAAAAGCAGAGCAATGTACGTTAGAAACACCTTTTTACTTAATAAAAGTCTTTTTACTTTACTTTATCATTATCTTTCAATGTTACCTTTTACTTCTTTTACTTCTTTTACTTGCATTTTTATGCTTTCATTTACTGTTCAACAATCTTAAACATCTCTCCCCTGGGTCGAACGTGCGTTCTTCCTTCTCACTCATTTTACATAAAGATTAGAAAATGTTCTGGGATTAGTTTGGTCGATCCCGCAAGTAAACCAAAAAAACTTACCTTTTTTGGAGACCAGCGGTTGTTTACCAAAAACAACGGTAAACAAATTGGCACACCCGGTGGGACGTTGCTAATTGCCTATGTTATTGTGTTTTTTTCCTGTACAGTTACAACATTGCATGTTATTACGAAGTGGTAGAATAACCAACAAATATACTGTTAGGGAAGAAATCGAAGAGAGTAGTATGGCTAATGAGCCAAACCATGGAGAAATACCCCCACCGATCACAAGAACAGCAGTTACTATTGTTGTCGAAGGGAATATCCCAACTTCTGTCGAATCTATACCAGCGTTAACCATGAATCAAACTGGACCCTTACTTACGTATATGGGTCCAA